GGGGGAAAGAGGATGTTTAAAATAATTGTGAAAGGTGCAAAATGTCACGACCAGGGATGCAGAAAAATGGCTGTGTGTGTGTGGGGGGGGGTAGGGTTTGTCAAAGAAGTTTGCCCATGAGGCTCTGATGACTTTAAAATTCTTACTTTAACACAAAATGTGTCTCCAGATTTATTCTGGTGACTTAACAGATTTTATTTACCTCCTTGTTCTAAAAGATAGGTGAGGTTCATGGCCAAAACTTTCAAAAGACATGAAACATCAATGTAGACTTTTAATGTGTAATATAAAAATTGCAGGTTAAAATCTCCGACCTTCCCTGTAAGAGTGAATGGCTTCCCCTTTGTCCTTTCCCCTCCTGACAATAGCATCTTGTTCAAAGATAAGAAAATTGGAGTTTTGCCCAGGCATGGTGGCTTACGCCTGTAATACCACCATTTTGGGAGGCCTAGGCAGGTGGATCACCTGAGGTCAGGAGTTCGAGACCAGCCTGGCCAACATGCTGAAACCCCTTGTCTACTAAAAAAATACAAAAATTAGCTGGGCGTGGTGGCGCATGCTTGTAGTTCCTGCTATTCTTGAGACTGAGGCAGGAGAATTGCTTGAACCCAGGAGGCAGAGGTTGCAGTGAGCAGAGATCACGCCAATGCACTCCAGCCTGGGTGACAGAGCAAGACCCCGTCTCACAAAAAAAAAAAAAAAAGAGAAAAAAAGAAAGTTGGAGTTTTTCAGTCTCTATCCTGCTGGGAGAGGCAGGGGATGGGTGGTGGTAGAAAAGAGAAAACAATTAGTTGATTTGCCTCTAAAATTTTGCGAAGAGATGAATCTAAGTAAAAGTAATTCTGGGTAGTAATATAGTTCTTGAATAAAAACTAAAATTTTCTTGGAAAACATTACATCACAACGAAATTAAATCCAGTTGGCTTATTGGTTTCATTTAAATGCCAGAGATTTCATTCCTGTAGAGGAAATGTCTTGTAGCTCTTCTATTTAAACTTTGGTTGGGCTTTTAAGTGTTTAAAAAGTAGGATAATTAAGACTCATGATGAGTGTGACTTTGTAACTTGGAAGTACTATCCTCACTTTTCAAGATATTTAAGGATTGCTTTAGAATAAACAAATATGTGAATTGATTATACCTTTATACACAAAGCGTGTAAGTACTTGTGTAAACTTACACTCTGCTTGCTGATGTAAGGAAACCTCTGAGTGATGTTACACACCAGTTAGTAGCTGGGTAGTGTCAGATGAGAGCCCCAAAATAGCTCTTTATTGTCATTCTTTAGGATTACAACACAGTTTATGTATGTTTCACTTGGCCCTTTCCAGTATAAATAAGGCCTGTGTATGTTCTACCTATGTATTGCTAATGAAGAAATGAAGACTTAGAGATATCACATGACTGTGGAAGACAGCTACGCAACAGAACTAAGGTTCTATATCCTCAGAATGACATGGAAGTGACACATATGCTGAATTTACTTTTAAAAAATTAAAAAAACTCTAGAATACATCTTATACTTTGCCTATAAAATAGACCTGTCTTTTAAAACTTACTGCCATCTTGATTTATTTTATGCAAAGTTGATTTTACACAACTCAAAGCCAACATTTTCTTCTTCTTCTTCTTCTTCTTCTTCTTCTTCCTCTTCTTCTTCCTCTTCCTCCTCCTCCTCCTCCTCCTCCTCTTCTTCTTCCTTCTTCTTCTTCCTTCTTCTTTCTTCTTCTCTTCTTCTTCTTCTTCTTTTTTTTGAATAAAGGTGGGTGTGACTATGTTACTCATGCTGGCTTCAAATTCCTGACCTGGGTTCAAGTGATTTTCCCATCTCAGCCTTCTGAGTAGCTGGGACTACAAGCATGTTCCACCTTGCCTGGCTCTATCTTATGTCTATACATTCATTTCAATGGATAAGAATAAAAGTAAAAGTAGTGAAAGAGCCTAAATGCAGCAGTTGAGTAAATGAGTTGATAAATTTTAATAAATGATTGCATCTTTTTTCTTTTCTCCCTCTATACATATAGCTTTGGATTTTAACCCTTCTGCCAATCCAGAGGCAACCACAATATTCCAGAGGAACTCTCAAACAGATGGTGAGACAACACTGTTTTTTCTACCAAGAGAAAGAGTAAAAACTCTTGTTTGATCAGGTGTATTATAGGAAGTATTTAGAAAAACTCATATTGGTTTAAATTTTTCAACTTTTCACATATTCACTTGTCTTATTTTAACATGTGATATATTTTCCTTTAGTTATCTTGTTAGTGAAAACATCTAAACTTTTTGTTTATACATTTTTGCCATCTTTTTATCAACATAATTAATTTGTCATGTGATGGAGGAGTCATGGATTTCTCTTTATTCATAATTTTTGGCCCCTTTTCCCTTGCTCCAAAGAGTACATTTTAAAGATGAATGATAGAACTTAGGCTTCAGCTTGGTTTTCTTTTAAACAAATTACAAACATAGTTGTTTATTATCAGGAATTGAATCTGTGATTTGGGTCTCCTCTCACACAGTCCTCTGACCACATTCATTTACCACATCCAAGTTTATGCTACTCAAAACTTTTAAGTTATTAACCCTTTCATTTGATGTAATGTCAATTTAAACATGCCCTACTCCTGCTTATTTTCCTTAAAGTTATCGTTAAATCCTCATGTATTTGCTAAAAAGCCATGCACAAGCAAGTTTTCCAGTTGACTTAAACAGCAAGAATACAAGCGAGGGTTCTATAATAATATGCGAAGTAATGCAGCACAGTAAAACATGGGAGTTTGTAACCTTTGTTTTTATAGTTTGAGTAGACTTTGCCCATCTTGAGTCAGTTATTTCTGATTAGAATTTGTGTTCATTTTTTACATTACTATAAAGAGATACCTAAGGCTGGGTAATTTATAACAAAAAGAGGTTTAATTGGCTCGTAGATCTTCAGGCTCTACAAACATGGCTTCAACATCTACTTCTGGAGAGGGCCTCAGCAAGCTTACAATCATGATAGAAGGCAGAGGGGAAGCAGGTTTTTCCACATGGTAAAGAGGGAGGAGAGAGGGGAAGAGGGAAGGTACCACACTCTTTTTCTTTTTTGAAATGGAGTCTCGCTCTGTTGCCCGGGCGGGAGTGCAATGGAGTGATCTTGGCTCACTACAACCTCTATCTCCCAGGTTCAAGTAATTCTCTGGCCTCAGCCTCCCGAGTAGTTGGGACCATAGGCGGGCACCATAACACCTGGCTAATTTTCGTATTTTTGGTAGAGACGGGGTTTCACCATGGTGGCCAAGGCTGGTCTCAAACTCCTGACCTCAGGTGATCCGCCCGCTTCAGCTTCCCAAAGTGTTGGGATTACAGGCTTGAGCCACCTCACCTGGCCAGTACCATACTCTTTTAAACTACCAAAAGGAGAATTTGCTTATTACCATGAGGGTGGGACCAAGCCATTCATTGGAATCCCCCGACATTACCCAAACACCTCCCACTAGGCCCTGTCTCCAAAATTAAAGGTCACATGTTACCATGAGATTTGGAGGGGAACATATCCAACACATATCAGAATTGTATTTCCCAGCTCCTTCCAGAGCCATTGGCTTCTCTCACCTAGAGAGCATGGAAGCGGTAAAAGAAAAGCTATTCCATGTCCCTCAC